GGCCTGTTTTCTTGTCTCTAAAATGGGCACAATAACTTGGCTGTTGTGAAGGTTGAACAAGAGGGCAGAAGTGAAAGGCTCTGTAAACTAAGAATATTTTGCCAGGAAAAGGTGTAAGTGCTCAGCCAGGTTCAGTCACTTTTTATTTCTTTTTCCTTTTTTTTTTTTTTGAGTCAGGTTTGCACTCTGTTGCCTGGGCTGGAGTGCAGTAGCATGATCACAGCTCACCACAGCCTCAACCTCCTGACCCAGGCGATCCTCCCACCTCAGCCTCCCGAGTAGCTGGAACTACAGGTGTGTGCCACCATACCAGGCTAATTTTTGTATTTTTTTGGTTTTTTGTATTTTCTATGTTACCCAGGCTGGTCTTGAACTCCTGGGCCCAGGTGATCCTCCCACCTCAGCCTCCCAAAGTTCTGGATTACAGGCATGAGCCTCCATGCCTAGCCATGTGCCCTGTTTTGATGGAGCCTGGGTCCTGGGCTTAGAGTGGATTTGATCTTCCTTGGGCAGATTATATGGACTGCAGAACCAAAGTCAACCTGAAACCATGAGCCGTCCTGGGTGAGGGCTCCTGGGGACTGTTGGGGATCAGTGCCGTATGGACTTCCTCAAAGGCAAGGATGGGAGAGCCAGTGAGAGTAGGGGAGCCGAGCCCTGATGCCTGGGCTGTGGGCAGAGCTCTGAGGTCATGGGCCTTGGCTGTTCCCTCTTCCCTTCCTCTCACCAGAGGACGTGTCCGTGAGAACAAGCAGACACACCTGAAAACACCCCAGGGCACTGCTGGCGGGAGTGTGAAATGGTGCAGCTGCTGTGGAAAACAGCGTAGCACTTCCTCAAAAAATTAAAAATAGAACCACTCAGTGATCCAGAGATTCCAGTCTGGGTGTAGACTCGAGAGCTGGAAGCAGGAACTTGAGGAGACAACTGCACACCCATGTTCACAGCAGCATTGTTCCATCAGCCAAAAGGTGGAAATGACCCAGCATATGAGGACAAAATGATAAGCCAACCATGGTCTATGCATACAAGGGAATATTATTCAGCCTTAAAAAGTCAGGACATTCTAGGCTGGGGGCGGTGGCTCATGCCTATAACCCCAGCACTCTGGGAGGCCAAGTCAGGAGGATCGCTTGAGCACAGGAGCTCAAGAACAGCCTGGGCAACATAGTGACATACAAAACCAATAAAAAAAAATCAGCCAGCTGTGGTGGCACGTGCCTGTAGTCCAAACTACTCAGGAGGTCGAGGCGGAAGGATCACCTGAGCTCAGTAGGTTAAGGCTGCAGTGAGCCATGATTGTGCCACTGCATTCCAGCCTGGGCGACAGAACAAGCCCCAACTCAAAAAAAAAAAAAAAGAGGTAAATTTAATGTCGTGTGTATTTTACCAGAATGAAAATAACAGGAAACCCTCGTCCACACAGTCACTGAAATTCTAGGTCAGTGCCCTGAAGGGGATAGGGATGGGGGGTCCAGAGGAGGATGTGTCTGCTCTGGAGGGGTGGGGAGGTGAGTCTGGCCAGAGTCTGTGTCTTCTGGTAGGTTGGGGTGTGTCTCTGACAGAAGCACAAGGCAGGGAGGGTGGCACAGAGCCAGGAGACCTGGATCTGAGTATGGACGCTTCCTCTCTCTGGCTGGCTTTGGGCAAGTCACTTCCCCTTAGTGCCTCAGTTTCCTCACCCGGAGCATGGGATGTGCTGTTCACATGTTCACTCGAGAACATGACTGTGGGCCTGTGCCAGGCCCAGCTCTGGCTGCTGGTGGTGGTGGGAACAGGTGGATGAGGCCAGTGCCTGTGGGACGTCCACCCTGGAGGACACTCGCGGGTGGACAAGAGCAAGGAGGAGCAGCCAGATGCCACAAGAGCACTGCAGGCTGTCAGATGGGACACGCTGGTGACCGAGGGTGGCCCCGCAGGTGGGTCAGAGAAGGCCTTGCTGGAGTGGCCACAGCTGAGCTGGGGAGGGTGGCAGGATGGTGGGGAACTTCAGAGTGAGGCATACTGGTGCAAAGGCCTGGGGAAGAGCCGAGGGTGGGAGACTGAGACACGGAGGGCGGGCCATGTGGCTGTGGTGCTGTGGCGGCTGGCAGGGTGGAAGAAGCCAGCCAACTGGTGCCAGGTCCTGCAGCCCAGTGAGGAGTTTGGATGTTACTCCAGGGATGGTGAGACGCTGTCTCCATGGGTCAGCAAGGAAGGGGCTGAGGCCACTGTGGCCTGGAGGTTGGGGCCCAAGTGGCAAAGCTGGGGCAGGGGTGGCAGAGAGGATAGCTGGGGGGAGGGTTGGGTGGGGAGAAGGCTCCCATGGGTGTCCAGTCCAGGTGAGGTGATGGCGGCATTGGGTTCATCCCACTCGTCTCAGGGATCCTCAGGAAGGCCCTTTTCCAGGGCAGATGCACGATGTATGTTCATGAAGCCTTGAGTGTGGATTAGGGAGACTCTTCAGTGTGTCCCCTGTGGACCTGTCTCCCAGCCCCCTCCTGGCCCCCGGTCGGCTAGCTGGCTCTGGTGGCTGCCAGGGTGGGTGAGAGTCTCTAAGGAGCCAGCTGGAGGGAGATTGCTGAGGATGGGAACTGAGGTCAGTGGCTGACAGGGTACAGGGCATGGACTCCGAGATGGTTCCCTTCCCAATCCATGAGCCCTGGCTTGAGAGGGCAGGGCAGATCTGTGGGTGCCAAAGCTGGTTGGTTCAGACCCCACTCATTCAGAATTTGCAGCCATGTGGACTGTGCATCTTGATGGTGTGAACCTGGGGTATTCTTGGCTGGGGGTGGCATGAAAAATATATTAGAGATAATAGTGATTTGTCAACTCCAAAGGCCCACAGTGCATGCACTGCAGACCTGGGATATTGAAATTTCATTGGTGTGGGGAGGAAGTGGTTAGGGGAAAAAAATGTCTAAAAGGCTCTTTGAAGGAGGGAGAATGAAAAAGGTTTAAAATGTTGTTTTAGACCCAGTGAGATGCTTCTCATCTGAGTAAGCAGTGTTAATCAACAGAGCAGCTCAGGCTTGTCACTTGACATAATTAATTTATAAAGTGGGCACACAGCAAAACATTGTGTTCTATCTTGTTTAAACTTACTCGTGTATCTGGCATCTTCTTTGTTAAATCCTCAACAATAGAGGCCAGGTGCAAGTGGCTCATGCCTGTAATCCCAGCACTTTTGGGAGACCAAGGTGGGAAGATCAGTTGAGCCCAGGAGTTTGAGACCAGCCAGGGCAACGTGGCGAGACCTCGTCTCTACAAAAAATTTAAAAATTAACTGGGTATGATGGCCTGCACTTGTAGTCCTAGTTCCTCAGGAGGCTGAGGCAGGGGAATCGCCTGAGCCCAGGAGGCTGCAGTGAGCCATGATCGTGCCACTGCACTCCAGCCTGGGTGACAGAGTAAGAGTCCAATCAAAAACAAACAAAAAACCAACCTGGGACCTTTTCACTAATTGGAGAAAGATGATCAGGTCTTTTTTCTCCTCTTGCTTCTAGGGGACTCATTTTCACATTCATTATCTGGTGTGGCCAAGACTGATCCCCGGGGGCCGGCATCTTAGTCTCCACTTTACAGGTAGGGAAACTGAAGCTCAGCTGAGGTGAATGGCAGGCAGCCTGCACTGGCCCTGGCCTGGTGCTCACATCCTGGGCCCTGACCCAGCACCTTTCCTAGGTCTGTGAAAGAGGCAGAGATGGCGCTGGCCAATGAGCACACGAGGAAGCGGTGCCAGCTAGAGGCAGGGCCTCCGTGTCTTGCCAGAAAGCAGCAGGTTGTGGACAGGGCTGGTCTCCTCCATGCTATCTACAGAGGTCAGGGCAGGGCTGTGGACTCAATGCTCAGGACCCAGTCACCACACTCCTGGAAGCAAGTAGGAGGAATGTGAATGACCTTCCTGCTGTGGATGAGGCGGCCTTGTCCCCACTGCATGGGCTGGCCTGGTCTCTACCTCCAGCCTCCCCTGGAGAGCCAGGCTTGTACAGGACCCCAGGCTCACTTGCTGCACTGAGGAACCAGGAATAAACAAGGGACAGAATGAATCAGGGCAGCCAGAGAAGGGCGCGGGGAGGCAGAAGCCCAGTCTCAATGTCTCAGTATGTGACCCATTCGCACATTCTAGTTGAATTGGTTGGTTTGACTCTTATATCTTCTAAATTGAATAAGTGAAGGATTTAGGCTAGTGCCTGGCACACAGTAGGTGCTTATAAATGTTTTATTTGTTTTGAGTCAGGGTCTCACTCTCGCCTATGCTGGTGTGCAGTGGCACCCTCATGGCTCACCGCAGCCTCAACCTCCTGGGGTCAGGTGATCCTCTTGCCTCAGTCTCCCAGGTACTGGGTACACACAACCAGACCCAGCTAATTTTTTTTATTTTTTGTAGATACATTTTCTCACTATGCTGCCTAGGCTGGTCTCGGACTCCTGGACTCAAGCGATCCTCCATTCATTAGCCTCTCAAAGTGCTGGAATTACAGGTGTAAACCACCACACCTGGCCTATGTAAATGCATTTTATTTATTTTATATTTTATTATATTTCAATTTTTTTTGAGTCAGGATCTCACTCTGTTGCCCGGGTTGGAATGCAGTGGCAAAATCTCAGCCTACCGCATCCTTGACTTGCTGGGCTCAGGCGATCCTTCCACCTCAGCCTACCAAGTAGCTGGGACTACAGTCACTCACCACCACGTCCCGCTAATTTTTTAATCTTTTGTAGAGATGAGGTCTCACTGTGTTGCTTAGGCTGTTCTCAGACTCCTGGACTCAAGTGGCCCTTCTACCTCGGCTGCCCAGAGTGCTGGGATGACAGGCATGAGCCCGGCGTCCGTCCGCCTGTATAAATGTTGACCCCTGCCCTTCTCAGCCTTTTCTGCTTTGACTTTCAGGGCCTCGCCCACCCAAAGCAATGCCTGGCCCTCGTAGTGCCTGAGCCCCCGTGTATTGGCAGGATGGTGGTGGAGAGACAAGCCCAGCCCCCGAGCCCCTGAGCGGGGAGGCCCAGCCAGAACTGGAGATGGGGAACATCACGGCAGACAACACGTCTGAGAGCTGCACCATCGACCACACCATCCACCAGACCCTGGCCCCGGTGGTGTATGTGGCGGTGCTGGCGCTGGGCCTCCCGGCCAACTGCCTGTCGCTGTACTTTGGCTACCTGCAGGTGCGCGCCCGCAACGAGCTGGGTGTGTACCTGTGCAGCCTCACGCTGGCTGACCTCCTCTACATCAGCTCGTTGCCGCTCTGGCTGCAGTACGTGCTGCAGCACGACCACTGGGCCCACGGCGACCTGTCCTGCCAGCTGAGCGGCATCCTGCTCTACGAGAACATCTATATCAGCGTGGGCTTCCTGTGCTGCATCTCCGTGGACCGCTACCTGGCCGTGGCCCACCCCTTTCGCTTCCACCAGTTCCGGACGCTCAAGGCGGCTGCGACCGTAAGCGCCATCGTCTGGGTCAAGGAGCTGCTGGCCAGCGTGTACTTCCTGCTGCACCAGGGGGTGGTGGAGGACCAGGACCGGCATCGCGTGTGCTTCGAGCACTACCCACTGGCAGCCTGGCAGCGCGGCATCAACTACTACCGCTTCCTGGTGGGCTTCCTCTTCCCCCTGGGCCTGCTGCTGGCGGCCTACCAGGGCGTCCTGCGCGCCGTGCGCCGCAGCCACGGGACTCAGCAGGGCCGCAAGGCGCAGGTGCAGCGGCTGGTGCTCAGCACCGTGCTCATCTTCCTGGCCTGCTTCCTACCCTACCACGTACTGCTGCTCGTGCGCAGCATCTGGGAGGCCAGTTGCGAATTTGCAAGCCGTATCTTCAATGCCTACCACTTCTCGCTGCTGCTCACCAGCCTCAACTGCGTGGCCGACCCCGTGCTCTACTGCTTTGTCAGCGAGACCACCCACCGGGACCTGGCCCGCCTCCGCGGGGCCTGCCGGACCCTCTTGGCCTGCTCCAGGGCCGGGGCTGGGGATGCCCGCACGCCAGGCGCCTCTGAGGCCTCCAGGAAGAGCGGGACCCAGGGTGAGGAGCCTGAGCTGCTGGCTAGGCTTCACGCGGCCCTCCCCGCCCCTGATGCACCAGCAGGGGGAGGGTCCCCCATGGGGGCACCCCACGAGGCCTGAGCCTTCAGTGGGGCATGGGTCTCAGGGTTCCAAGCTTGCCGACCATCTCCCGTGTCTCCATACATTGGGGCCTCATTCCAGTGGGCCTGGCTGCAGCAGGGTCCTGCTGGCTCCAGGAAGCCTGCTCCTGCCTGTCGCACCTAGGGAAATTGTCAGGGTTGGGGATGGGCCCTGCCGGCTGGTGATGTCCTCTGCAGCTGGCTGGGATGAGGCTGGACCAGGTCTGCAGGCTGGAGGGAGACGGTGGCCCCTCCCTTATGGGAGGGGGCTGCATAGTTCACAGGTGTGGAGGCCGGGGGGTGGGGGGAAGGCCCACCCACTGGGCCTTCAGTGCCATCATCACTGATGACACCATCCCTATGTGTGGCGTGACCTAACCATGTGACCCACGAAGTGGTCCTGTCTCAACCTGTGAGCCCCACCCACAGCAGGGTGGGAAAAGGGACTGGATGGGGTGGGGGAGGGAAAGTGGGAGACTAGGATCCAGGGTGGGGGTCGGGGGCAGGAGAGAAGGGCAGGAGCACCCTGGTTCCAGCCGTGTTGCTGGTCCCTGGCCCGAAGGCTGATGGGAAACAGGCCCTGGTCTCCCCAGGGAGGTGTCAGGCTATCTCCCGAGTCAGTGCCGGAGTGCAAGTGTTGGGACAGGGCCAGAAGCCGGGGACCTTGGCAAGTTTTCTACCCAGGCTCCTCCTAGTTCACGTGCTATTTCCATCTGTACCAAAGAACCAGATGTGACAGCCTGGAGGTGGGGAGAGGAAGGGAAGAAAGAGTCAGAGAGACAAACAGAGACAGAGATAGAGACAGAGTTAGAGAGAGACGGGGGAAGGACAGAGAGACAGAGACAGACAGAGGCAGAGATCACAATCAAGATGCCAGAATCTCCATGACAGCTGGGTGCATGGACACTGACGTGAGGGTCATGTGCCTGGCAGTCCTGTCCCCTCCACACGCTGGTGTGACTGGAGCGTGACCTCCTCCCGATTCTCAGACACAGCACAGCAAGCAGAAGAGCCGTCCCTTGCAGCTCCTGCCCAGGGCCTGGGTCCAGCCTCCTTAGTTTAAACAGCTCCTGTGGCAAGGAGGGGTGGCCTCTGCCCTCTGCTCGTCTGCCTGGAGGAGAGTGATGGGCCGGTGGTCAGGTGTCACCCGGGGTCCTGGCCACCAGCTTCTGCCCTAGAAGCTGCACAGGGCTCATGTCTCCTGCAACCTGGGGCCTGACTGTGCTCAGGACACATGTGCATGCATACCCATACATGCACACACACACACGTGCATGCACACCCATACACGCACACGTGCGTGCACACACTTGCATACGCTCGCATGCACACACACACATACATGCACTCATACACACATGTGCATACACACACACACTTTCTCCTGTCAGTTGTGCAACAAAGTTGCTCACCCCTGAGCACAGTCCCCTAATGGTCGCTGGAGAGCAGCAAGGGGTCTGTGGAGTCCCTCAGCCTCATCCTACTTGGGCAAATGCAGAGACTTTTCTGGGATGTACCCAACCCAGCCCCTGCCTGGGGACGGCACTGGAGCCAGAAGGCCCTCAGTTTCCCCAGGAGCCCCACTCACCACTGCAGACTCGCTGGCCCTCAGACGGTCCAGTCAGTGGGCAGGGCCAGCCCTGACTCCCCGAGCACCCTCACAGGCCTGGGTTGACATCCTCAGAACCAGGAGGTTGAGTGGACCTCATCTGGGTAGGGGCCAGGGCAGGGAATAGATGCTGGTGTTTGTGGGCTGCTTCTGGGATCTGTTCAGGGAGACCCAGGTGGAAGCCCTTCCTCAACCTCTAGGAGGCTGATCCTCTACCTTGGGTCTCAGCCCTTTTATCAGCGGTGCCCAGAGGCAGGCATCCCAGGCGGGATGTGCCCTAGGGAAGGAGGGTTACTCAGGGCTACACTCAGCCTTGGCTGGGCAGCCCCTCTCAGATCCTCATGCCCCTGCCAGGGTCTCTGGTGACCTGGGGAGGGTCCCATCCCCTTCCTAGAGGGGGACGTGACCAGGTCTGAAGGTGGCAGAAATAGCTGCACAAGACCCAGTGTGGCGACTCATGCCTATAATCCCAGCACTTTGGGAGCCCCAGGTGGGAAGATTGCTTGAGCCTAGGAGTTCGAGACCAGCCTGGGCAACATAGTGAGACCTCATTTCTACAATAAATAAATAAATTAGCCAGGGGTGGTGGCATGTGCCTGTAGTCCCAGCTACTCAGGAAGCTGAGGCTAGAGGATCGCCTGATCCTAGGAAGTTGAGGCTGCAGTTCTGTAATCATGGCATTGCACTCCAGCCTGAGCGACAGAGTGAAATTCTCACTCAAAAAAGAAAAGAAAAGAAAACGGTTTCACAGCCAAGGACCTCCAGCCCAGGCAAGGGTGTCACTGAGTTGGTGGCGCAGGTTGAGCCCCCAACCCTCGCACTCCATTGTCCCCCTTCTCTGACTCTACACACTGAGGTCTCCCATCATGCGCTGAGGTAAGCTGAGGACAGGTCTGTTTACTGTCAAGAGGTGGATTTTTAGCCGGGCTCGGTGGCTCAGCCTGTAATCCCGCACCTTTGGGAGGCTGAGGTGAGTGGATTGCCTGAGCCCGTGGGTTTGAGACCCGCCTGGGCAGCGAGACCTCATCTCTACAATAAATCAAAAAATCAGCCGGGCATGGTAGCACATGCCTGTAATTCTGGCTACTCGGAAGGCTGAGGTGGAAAGATCGCCGGAGCCCAGCAGGTCAAGGCTGCGGTGGCCGGGAGCGGCCACTGCACTCCAGTCTGGGTGACAGAGTGAGACTCCAACTCAAAAAAAAAAAAAGAAGAGGTGGATTTTTACAGTGTCCTCTGTTATGCTGAGTCCATGTGTGGTGACCATGCAGTGGTTTGTGTGGCCAGTATAGCCACTTATCCAGCCATAGTGGGAGTCCTCATAGGGGAGGATCTTCCAACACCAAGGGGACCCAGAGGGCCCTTGAAATCCCCAGAGGAATTGGGAAGGGCCAGGGACTGGTCTCAGAGAAGCCTCAGACAGACCCCCACGTGAAGGAGCATGCTCGCACCCTGGGACTGACTCAGCCTCCTCCTTGTGAGGCAGGGTCCCATGTGGTGAGGAGACCGTCACTTCCGTCCTTGTCCATGAGGCCCCTTGTGCCCACTGTTCCCCCCTCAAGGGGGCCCATCACACTGTCCCCTCCTTCTCTGAGAAGGCTCCCCAGGCACGAGGCCTGCCGTGTCCCTCCCTGGGGCTGTCCTCGGTGACTGGGCTGTGTGGGAGGCCCTGTTGGTGACGGGCCTCTTCAGGCCCCAGCATGTTCTCAACCGTGTTTATGGTTGAGGATTAACTGAGCCATATTACAATGTAAGTGGGACGTTGGTCACTTAATCCCCCTCTGGGTCAGACTTGTGGTGTGTTCCGGAAGGGCCGAGCCTTCTCCCAAACACAGTGAGTAGTTTACTGGGAATTGCGACTCCTTCCTTTCTCTCCTGAGAGGGTTGGGGAAGGAGCCCATCTGGTTTGGACGGAAAGTGGCAGAAGCCATTAAGATTCCTTTTCACTTGCCCATGCAACTTAGTGCGATGACGGCCTGTCTTCCTGTTTATGCTTACGAGTCCTGGGCCGGCCACACAGGAGGACATTGCACATGGACACACCCACCTGTGGCTCCTCTGAGGCCACTGAGAGCCAGGCGCTCATGCTCTTGCCCACTTAGGGGGATCCTGCAGCCTTCACTCACCTGGCAAGATGGTGGTCCCCGGTGGTGTATGTGACCATTCCCTCCATGGCTCATGCTGGGATTCTGCTGCCATTGTAGCGGTGTCGAGAGATGGGACCTTCAGGAGGGGACTGGGTCATGAGTGATGAACAGATGGCTGTGGGAGACGGTTCGCCATGGTGGGCCAGGGCGTCATCCTGGGAGTCTGGCCTGGTTTGGCTCCACCTTCCTGCTTTTGGGTCTGTCTGCTTTCTGCCGTGGGGTGACCCCTGTCGGACACCTGCGCCGTGATCTTGGACTCGCTGCCTCCAGAACCATGAGCCAAATAAATGCCTATTCTTTATGCAATGTCCAGTCTGTGCTATTTGTAGCAAGAGAAAATGGATTAAGGCAGATGGCCTGCATCCTGGGGTCCTGGGGCACCCAGGGCACGGGGATGTGGTAGGATTTCAATCCCCTTGGCTTTGATTCAACACCCATCAGAGGAACCCAGCTGGTTTAGACGTTTGACACTGGTGCTGGGACGTGCCACAGAGGGCCTGACACCTAGCTCCCTCCCTGTGAAATGGCCCCTCTGCATCTCTCAATGACGATTGTCTTGTCTCCATTAACACCACCAGTGACTGCTAGCTCGTTGCCACCCAGGACCAGTCACTCCAGGGCTGGGCAGAACATCCTCACTCCCAGTGATGTGAATGAGACCCTCTCCCCTCGGGGCCACGGGTCTCTCCAGGCATACCTCACCTCTCAGTGTTAACCCTTCCAAGCCTGTATCAGGCACACATCAACCTCCCCAACTCCCCACCCCCCACCCAGGGACGGACTAAAGACCTGAAGTGTTTTTCTCCCGTTCTGCCAAGTCCAGTGAGGTACTGCTTTCTAGCACGTCTTTTCCCAAGTGCTGTCCATAACTCGATCCTTCTGTCAAGAAAGTCCCCACCTTGCTGTCTTCCTCTTCATCCACATGGGGAGAGGAAACCCCAAAAAGAGAATCTCACGTTAGGCCAAGTCTGGAAGGGACTGGTGTCCCTGCCACTCAGCCTTTCCCTGCTGGGCAACAGGGACCCCTAGAACTAAGGTGACCCTCCTCTCACCTGGCCTGCCACCTTCAAGTCCCGCCTCCTGCAGGGTCTGTGTGGCAGGTGCTGTCTCCGTGGGCCATGGCTATCCACTGAGCAGCACCAGGCCCCTCCCCCACCTCTCATCTGATCTCCTGCTGCTTTGTCCTGGCTGGCTCCAGGCTCCTCTCCTACTCCTTCCTTGCAGGTCACCTCTTGTCTCCCTTAACCA